TATCTTCTGGGAATGCTTAAGGGAATGGGATTTCATCCAGTTATGCTTAACTGGATTAAATCTCTAGTCACATCGCCTACTTTCTCTATCTGTGTTAATGGACAACCGGAAGGTTTTTTTTATGGAAAGCGAGGATTAAGACAAGGGGATCCTTTGTCTCCTTATTTGTTCACGGTGGTTATAGAGGGATTATCGATGATTCTGACAAAATGTATTGAGGAGGAGGTTCAGTTTGCTTATCATCAAGGTTGCGCGGAGATTAAATTGACCCATTTATGTTTTGCGGATGATCTTTTTATCTTTTCTAAGGGGGACGCAATTTCAGTTGAAGTGCTAAAACGTGCTCTCCATTTGTTTGAAGAACGTTCGGGTCTGTCTCTAAGTCTTGCTAAAAGTGAAGTTTTCTTTGGGAATGTGGGGATGGATGTTCAGAATATCATTCGACACAGTCTTCCTTTTCGTCCGGGGGTTTTTCCTATTCGCTACCTGGGAGTGCCTCTCTCTCCTGTTCGTTTAAAGGTGCGTGATTTTAACCCTCTTGTGCTCAAACTTAAATCTCGTTTGATGAATTGGAAAAATAAATTCCTTTTTTATGGGGGAAGAAGACAGCTCATCATCTCTGTACTTCATTCTATGCAAACCTATTGGATGTCGGTATTTCTTGTGCCGGCAACCACTATTCATGAGATTGAGCAGCTATTCCGTAATTTTTTATGGAATAAAATGGAGGGTACTATGGGTAAATGTCGAGTTTCATGGGATAGGATTTGTCTACCTATTCAACATGGTGGTCTTGGTTTGAAAAGACTAGCACTCTGGAATCGGTGTTACTGTTTAAAAATATTTGGGATATTCTTTCTCATAGAAATACTATGTGGGTATCATGGATCCAGTCTCATTGTATTCGAGGCAGGAATTTTTGGATTATAAAGAAAAGGAATGAATGGTCGTGGCTTCTTMGAAACCTTTTGGAGTTGAGACCTCAATGCAGAAGGTTTTTTTATCTATAATATGGGTGATGGTATATCCACTCATGCTTGGGAAGATACGTGGAGTGAGCCGGGTCCCCTTATCCATTTGCTCACTTACAGATTCATTAATGGTCATGGGTTTCACAATAACTCTACGGTCTATGATCTAATGCAACGGTTTGGTACTACTTGGCYAGAGGATTGGATTCAGCTGTATCCCCAATTGCAAAGTGTTATGATCCCACTCCCTACTCAAATTGAGGATACGGTCCAATGGCTTGATGCTAACCATAAGCGGAAAGCATTTGAAGTAAAAGTGGCTTGGCATACATTACAAGAAGCAAGGCCGAAGGTGCATTGGTATAAGGTTGTATGGAATAAAGCTTACATTCCTAAACATGCTCTGTGTATGTGGATGGCTTGTCAACATAGATTACCAACTCAAGATCGCATCTGTCAATGGAAACATGAACCTCCGGACTTGAAATGTGTTTTCTGTAATCTTGTGCTTGAAATGCATAATCATTTATTTTTTGAATGCAACTACCCGAATAGTATATGGGAGGTCATTCAGAAGGAAGTTGGGATAACAAATTGTCCGAACAAATGGGAGGACTATCTTAACAGGGGTCTATCTCAAGGGTGGAAGTCATGGTCCACGGTTCAAAAGATAGGTATATCTGCTACAGTATACCACATATGGCAGGAAAGGAATAGAAAATTCTTAGATAAGCATAATCAAGCTGGCGAGAAAGTGGTGGCTGAGATCAAGAGTCAGATTCTTCAAAGAATGGCGTGGAAGGCAAGACAAAAACTCATACCTCTCAATGACACGTGAAAAGGTGTTTGCTAAAGGGTTTCGTTTTTGGAAGATGGCGGGGTTTTGCTCCATTTATTTTTTGTCTTGCTTTATTATTATTTATTGGTGCATTTCTCTTTGTCTTTTTTGGCTTCTTATGGCTTGGTTTGTAAGCCAAAGTTGCCATAGCGTATCTTGTTGATTTGCTGTTTTGACTGTTCTCTCTTTTACTAGTCTTTATAAAATTGCCTGGGGTTGCTTTCCCCTTTCAGTAGGTCATAATCAGTCCCATTAGACCCTGATGCGTTTAATGGGCCTATTTCTTCGTAACGATTTAATTGGGTCAAAATGACACTAAATGGGTCATAGTTGGTATAACTACATGTTAATATGACTAATTGAGGT